TCCTGAGGGATGTTGGGGACATATTGTAAGCGACATACGGCAGATAATGTTAACCCTTCGGCAAATGGTGATTGCCGATCGAGATTGACGGGGACCCAAGCTTGATCAGCTATCGCCTCCTCTAGCTAAATATCTATCAATTTTGAACATGTGTTGCCTCCTCTCATCCGAAGATACCTAGCTGATTCTTTCTGAAAATTGGTCCCGTCAATTCGACATTGCACCGCAGGCACAGTACACTAAAGAACCGCTGCTTAACTGAGACGTGCCCAAACCATAACTATCATGCACAGTGCGTGCAATGCCAGCATCGTTCAATGCTCTGCTTCGCAGGACAGCAACCTTCCGTCTTCGGCTTTTGGTCCATATCTCCAGCCGCCTCTGAAATCCACGCGAACAACACAAGACATGTCCTTTGGAAGGAATGCAGGGCAAGTATTGTGGCCCATTAAAAGGAGGAAATACAGAATAGAAACCGGCTAGATTCGTAATATTTCCTCAAGCAAACTGCTCAGTGGACAGTATTCTATGAACTGAATCTCAGTCATTAATTTCTCGCGCTCCCTGGAGCGTCCAACTTAGGGAGTACTAGAACATAGCTGCTAGGGACTGAAATTAGGTGCAGTGATAATTCTGCAGTGGAGGATTCGAGCAGAACTGCCATTTTGTCCATGGTGTACTGGGACAAGAGCGAATAATTTTGCAGTGTCGTTGGATATTGTGAGAACTGTGAAGTAGATAAAGGTCGAGTGAAGTAAGCCATGGCTGAGAAGATAATGTATTTTATCTTAACCTGGCTCACAGCATTGTGTTTAACATAGGCCATACCGCATCTTATCTCTTTGAGCGGCACGAGGCATCCACGATGTCACGACAGGGGTGGGGGCCAATCAAAATGACCGTGACGGCTGGTACCTCCGCCTACACCTAAATTAGCGTGTGATAGAAGTACCAACAGTCAGCATTGTTACAAATCGCTACATCACACACTTTGCATCCGTACCTAGTCTGTGGACCTCGCGCATTTCCTGATATAGGCTGTAGATAGCCTCCTTTTTCCTTCCTTTTTTTCGAGGGTCGGGTCTGCCCTTGCCGAAAGCCCTTACAAGCTAGGCACGAGGAAGACCTATCTCTTCCTCGATAGACATAATTGATATCTCTTTGTAGGTGATTTTGCCGGGCTTCTTAATCGTCGATATCTTCCTCTTTCCCTGTGCAGTCTCTCTTCCTAGTGTGACCTTTAGCAGCGTATCTATTAAAAATAGCATTATAAATGCATTCCTTCTAAGCTTGAAGCGTGGTATAGGGCTTCTAAGGAGGCTGCCGTGTTTTCTTCTGTAAAATGAAGCTATTCGCAAGTGCAACTTCAAGGAGGAAAGACCAAAGTAACGCCTGCCAAGGACCGCGCCGGAATCGGTGCTAATATGTTATATAAGACCGTATCTAATCGCCGCGGTTAACGTGGTTTATTTTATTATTATACTAAGCGGTAATAGTAGGAATAGGGATTATCTTGAAGCTATTACTATTAAAGACCTGCTATAGGCATTATGACTCTGCCTTTATGCCTCTTTTAGCAGGCTTTTTCCTCTTTTTTAGTATGCGCTCGTAAGGGGCTCTGCTAAGCACAGTTAAAAGGAAGAGCATGATGCTGCTATCTTTCTAAGCGATTTAAATAACCTAGGGAGAAAGGAAAAGGACAAATTAGTAAGGGAAATACAGGTAAAGCTATTCATACCTATTTATCTTATATCAGGATCAAATATACCTCGTTATACTGCAAAGCTATGTCATCAGGAGCTTTTCCGGTCTCTTTTATATGCTTTATCTCGGTGGTAATGCCGCAGTTAGGGCATGCCATGCCTATGGCACCGTGGCCAAGCTACCGAAGAAGGCGAAAGAGCTGCGGCAATGAGAAGAGGTTATCCATAAAGACGTGACATATCTGCGTTAACAGCCTTTTTAGTAGGTAAACCACGATGCTTTGCGTATTATTAGGAGGAATCTCGGTCTGTAGCTTTCCCTTCTTGCTATACGGCGTTAGTATAGGTAGCTTAACTATAACAGCCTTATATGGTGATGCCTTCACGTGCTAAAGCCACTGCAGAAAGAAGCCCTATTAGGCAATAACCCAGACTTTGAACCCCACGGGCGTAGGTTTATTCTTAATAACAGTTATCTCTTTTAATCTGCCTGTAAAAGGGATCATATACTTATCTACAGTTAGATTAGTCCCTGGAGAATAGAGCTTGATAGACACCCTTTATATGTGATTAGACTACTCTTCAGCCGCTTAGAAGGTCTTTAGAAGGTCGCTCTCATCCCTCACATCGAGCTTGGTATAGTCAAAAGTGCGGAAATACCTCGTAATCAGCTCGAACTTCTGTAACGGCATGAACTTGATAATTAAGTGAAGAGGGCGCTGATCTCCTAGGCTAGGGGACTTCCAATAGTCTTTAATCGATATTTCCCTATGAATTCCTAGGTAAATAAGGACCCTAAGCTATATATAAGCTGTTGCAGTGGAGATGTCTTCCTACTTGAGAATGCAGGACCATTTAGAAAGGGGGGTATTCCAGTTATCAATAACGGCATTTTCAAGTAAGTGAGCGACCTAGCTATTGGTGTATTCAATCCATGACTGTATAAGGGAAATAGGTATGAAAAGCTGGAATAATTCAAGTGGTTCCTTGGGTAGAGGGTTGATCTTGAAATCATGATATTCTAGGTTGAAAGGTTGAAAATCATCACCGCGGCCCTCTTCGGGCAGAAAATCAGGCACGCCGGTGGGGTCATTAGCTGCCCTCAAAGGCGGGGTATTAAAGCTGTGATCATCTATATAATCAGGTATCTTTTGGGAGCTCATCGTTTTAATTAAGACGCGTTAAGGTCAATTTGTATGGGATTTTGATGATTTTGGCTGTATTGAATGAAGCAGCTGTCTGACGAGAACTTCATGTACCCCGCAGGTACTAGCGTTGTTAGTAAGCAAGGTGGGGCGAGTGACCCCGTGGATGCCTTGTGCCGCTCAAAGAGATAGCTCGCTTTAAATGTCTCGCATCGGGGCCAAAGGCAAAGCTCCGCACTCTGCCACACTCCATCATTTGACGGGTAGGCAGAATTGTGTGGCGAAGACACTGAGTTGAACTGGCGCACATGAGTGGTTTTCGCCCCCCACGTTTCCTTTGGTACGTCAGCGTTGTTGCTGACCCGCCATTAACCACAGGGTCCTCGAGGCATCCCGTTCTACGGCCAACCGTGCGTCTCTTTACTATTCCACGTCCAAGTCCTAGCTCTCACCAACTTCAATCTACTGCAGCTCTCGTCAATCTAAAGGGGATCATTTCCACAACATGGACGACCCATTATGGATATGGCCATCCTGGAATTTCGACATAAAGAAAGAGGATTTATTCACCAAGCTCCACGATCAATACAACACCTACTCGGCCCCCTTCAAGACGCTGAGGCTTTTTATCATGATATCTCCGAAATCTCCTACGAAGCGCAGTCGACTGTCGAATTTCATCATGTAGCCAGCAATAGCAGACAACAGCGACTCTGTGAGTTGAATAACTCTCTTGAATCTGCAAGTTTCGAAATCATTGGAAGCCCAAACCTCATCAAGATGCCTCAGTAGGAACATGCAGTCCAGGTCTTCCGTACAAACTCTTTGGACTCCCTCGTTCGATACTTCGCTTCTTACCTCCCCGCCGACCACATTTGGCACCCATTGTGTCAAGATTCCGCCCTTGTCGCCACTGACGCTGTATCCACCCCCCCTTTACCGAAAAAGCGGTGCAAACGCATCAAAATGAATGAGGCCACTGACTCCGGGAGGCAGACCTTGCTGTCGCCGTCGATGGTGCTTGGCCGCCTTCCGGCGAAAGATCAATCCTTGGAGCCGAATGAACCCTTAGATTCTGCGCCTCCTGCTGTATTGTCCTCATTTCCAGAACCAGGATTAAGCGTACTCGACCGAGGAACACAGCTCCTACGTCGGCCATGGAAGTTTTGGTGATGGCATGTCGACGATGTCAGATTCCGATGCATTTACAATGGTTGAATGCAGGATTAAGAACACACTCAATGAGACAGTACGCCCCTACGGGGGATCTTCTACCAAATTATCTCTCAAGCAGATTGATCTTGCAAGCAACCATTCCGGCGGTCAGAGAGGGCGTTGTGTCGATTGTCAAGTGAGCGCACACCCTAAAACCTTGACGTCTTTACCCGTAGATCTATCATTCTCGGGACCTTTGCGGACTCCGGTCGCATCAGATGGCTCCGTTCAAGTTGCTGCTGGAGCTATGGTGGGATTGAAGCGCAAACGTTGTTAAGCGACAAAAACTCTCAAGCTCTTCAGTCTTCACATATTCGCATTGTACCTTAGAAAATCACATAATCTCGTTGCATGATTTTTATTATCCCTTTGACTGGCATAGCCCTTCTGCGAAGTCGCACTTAGGGGCTCAAATGAATAAGTGCCTATCAGTTTGCGAGTACATCTAGATTATGTTAAAAATCCGCAATAGTCACCAGACCCAGTTATCTATATACTTGAGCAAAATGTAACAAAGTTACAGAACAGTAACTGACTTAAAGTGCCTTATTGAACCAAATCTCTTGTCGTTGATTTGTACGTGGGGTCAAGTGGAGCTAACTACTTCAGAGAAGGGCTATGCCGGTCAAAGGGATAGTTCATTATTGATCAGAGCTAGATCAACTCTTCAATCGAGCATGAGTTCCGGTAAAACCGAAGACTTTAGAGTCCTAAACACTGTACCTTGTGAGAACCGTACTGGCACCTGACTGGTGGTTTCAAGAGGCGAAAAAGTAGGTTTACATCAGGAGAGCTGAGAGAGGGGGGCCAGCACCCACAGTAAAGCACAGGGTATGTAATTGACACATGCTCTGATGTTAACCCGCGCTACGTCACCTGTTTTCAAATACCGGGTCTAGCATTGACCCCTCTATTTTCAATTTTTCAAAGAATGGTTTTTGAGGATTTCATGGTGGCCCCACCAGCGGACTATATTAGCCTGATGGTCTTCCCCACTTCAACCACTCACTTATCCACAATACCGAATTGCAAATATTAATCAACCAAAAATCTCCGAGCTCACTATGGAGAAGGATAAGCGCCTCTTGAGCCTATATGGAATAGTTCCCAGCAGAGAGAACCTTCTTCATCATCAGTTAGAAGTTAGTAAAAAATATTCTACGGCCTTCATGATCAGCAAGAATCTACCTAACTCGGTAATCAATGGAAGGGAAGAAAGTATTTCGATTCGGGTGATTTTGCCCTCGCGCAAGCCAATAGATCTTCCGATATCGGTACCGTCAAGACCGGTAGCGAACACCCCATTCGGCGAGATATATCAGACCCTTCGTGTCCAGTACCGAGCTCTAGCAATCTTGACGATAACGCCAACCAGCATACATCACCTGAGAAGAAAGCTGGCGAGCTGAAGTTTACTAATCATACCCACCTCCAACAAGAGACGGTGGTCCAGCGAGAGGATGAGCATCGGGAAACGAAGCAGGAACACAACGTCTAGATGCTGGCTATTGTGATTTAGCTAGCCGACCCGCCTGGTTAGCAACCAGAAGCTCAATAGTATTAAAGAATACCCCATCTGTAACAGGATAGGCTTCGGTATGCCTGGAATCCTAGGGCTCATTTAACCGCGATGGGTAATATACAACTTATAAATAATCATCATCTTTCCGAACGATGTAGCTACTGTAGGTTTTAAATATCTTGGCTTTGACTATATTCAGTAAATCACCTTCCATGTGACACTAACCGATCCAAGCTCCAACTCAATGGCTCGTCCTTTCAAGGTCGAGACACCGCAGCAAAGACCAAGAACAAAGTCCCCTTTAGATCGACATATAGGAGAGGCCATGATAGCCATCACAGCAGTCGTTGAAGAAGCTGTGCCGACAATGATCTTATCGCCGAGGTCAAAGCAACGATGAAAGGAAGAACGCGCAAAGACCCTCACAGAATCAAAACAGCTCCGCCGCTAAGATAGCCTCTGTACTACCCTGAAGAGACCTGGGCAGCATACCGTGAGACGCGTGATCACAACAGGAGGGTCATCAAGAGGGGCACTCAGATGGATCAAAGGTAGAGGAAGCTGCACAATCATCTGTATCCCTCAGACGGTCACAAAATGGGCTCGAAACAAGACGTGATCGGACGCCAAACGTGGTGCCGGTATTGGACGAACCTTTCACATGATAGCCAGTAACCAACCTCGGGAGAGAGGGCATAGATAGATCTCAGCGACATGTAGAACGCCAGCTATCCCAATCCCATCATCATGCCACTATTAACGATATAGGAAATAGAGGAGGCTATCTTGGAGTCTGCGCCCTTGAAAGCCCTAGGACTAGACGGCAGCTCGATTAAGGCACAGCAACTGGCCTCACGCAGGATCAAAACACATCTCGCTACGATGTTCAACTAATCCTTGGCCCTCGACTACTACCTAGAACACTTTCGACAACCGACAACCGCAGTCCTCAGGAAGCTAGGAAAAGACAACTACACGACGCCGGAGGTTACTGACTAATCGCTATGCTTTGGACAAATAAGTGTCATGATCCAGACCACTACCAATAGACGACGAGATATATTGTGTATGGGGGAAACCAGGGGAATAATGCTGATTTAGAACAGCTTAGATGTTCGCATCTCCGGCGTAGAATCAATAACAGACCCAAGCTTCGTTATGCTTTATTACTTAATGCCGTCTGTTTTAAAACCATGGGAGCGATTTGCCTCAAATTTAAGTATTGTTGCCCGCCCTGCAGCCCAACTGCTCGAATGCATAGAGGAGAGATCTCGTTAATTATAGCCAGGAACTCGGATTTAGAATTCAAGCAATGCTCAATGTTTAAAAAAAGAAATATACATGGGTTCTGGGGTACCTAGACTAAGACGCCAGAGCCAGCTCACACAGCATATCCCCAAATTGGACTTGACGCAGAGTCTCATGAGCGTTTGTGGTTTGGCGAATGATTTTAACTATCCGATTCGCGTCGTCATGCTTCGAGAAGGGTCAAATATCCACGCCTTGATACTATTGTTCAGCAAAGGGAGGGAAGTGTCTGGAGTTGAGAGGAGGAAACAGGTACTGTGGGGTAAACAACCAAGGGTGATCTGAATTGATACATTCTAGACCACCATTTGCATGAAGAGTAGGGATAATTTATCAACAAACAACCGTCCGTAGAATTGATCCTTGGCGGGGCTTCCTCCGCTTCATCTGATTGGCCGTGGCGTAGATCAATCGTCATCATAGACCAGTCAGTGCATCAGCGGCCGTGACGCAGTAAAGAAGTGATATAACGTAATGTATATGATAAGCAGAACTTATCGTGGGGTCGTTTTGCGGAGTAATTTCGGGAAATCGTATGTGATTACACAACTACCATCTGATAAGTGCCCGGCGCCGCGCACGCGAATATCTCGACGGTTAGGAGCCAAATCGATGCAATTCCAGGGCTGGAGGACTGCTACGCTCTGGCGGTCCGTTTGGTTCAAGAGCGACGCTGTATAGGCGAGCGGGCGCTGAGATATTTGCGTGTGCAGCGGCTGGGGGGCCAGGCTTCGCTGCAAGGACTACGACATAGCAATGCGCTGATCCTGCTGCTCCTTAATCTTCAAAAAAAATAAAAAATATAAAAAATAAAAATATGCCTTCTAGATAGATAGATAGATACGGACTAGTTACCGCTATAAATATATAAAGATCCTACCTGACGGCCAGCTTACCGTCGACGAGGGGCGGTCCGCCTCCTCCCTAGCCGAGCCCAGCGCCCCCGATGGCCCTGGTCCCGAGTCGGCCTTGGTCCCGGGTCTGGGTCATCGGGCACGGGGGTCCCTACCTGTACCCGTATCCGGCCCTGGCCCTGGCCCCGCCGGCGGCGCTGTTTGAGCTCGTCGACGAGCCGGTTCAAGCTCCGGCCGGCGCGTAAGAGCTCTAGCTCTGCAACTGCCTCCTCCTCGCTCTTGCCGGACGCCGTGCGGGCCAAGAGCTCGTCCCAGATCACCTTCCGGCGACAGAACTGCACCCTGATCCCGTTCCCCGGGCGCCAGCGGCTTCCCCACGTCTCTTCTAGCACCCGTACGGCCGGCTGACCTGCAATCCCTTCCTCCCACTCCTTCCAGACATCCCGCACTGTAAAGACCTTGGCCAGGGCTGCAACGACGGGCATACCTGGTACTGGAGGCTCTGGAGCCGGAGCCGGAGCCGTATTGAAGTTCAAGGTAGGGGCTGCCGACGGCGCCGGCGCCAGCGACACTGCTGGCCCGGCTCCAAAGTGGCCGGTAAAGGTGATTGGGACCTTGCCCTGGAGCAGGGAATCGAGACCGCCCTGGATTCCCTCTAGCCGGGCCTCTAATCGGATGGCGAGTCGCTGGTTATTCTGTAAGAGGGCCTCGCGCGTGCTCTCTAACACGCCGCTTAGCTCTGGCAGGGCGCGTTGTACGAGCAGGCTTAACGGCTCCGTAGCCCCTGCCGCGTCGGAGCGAACGGCGACGGCGAACTCGTCCCATTCAGACCCGTTGAAAGGGGCATAGGCGAAGAAGGGCAGCGACGGGTAGCGAGGCTGCAAGACAGCCAGGTCCTGTAAGAGTACTATGCGCAGGCGCCGCATAAGCTTAAGGAAGCCGTCAGCGGCTAGGTCGTCGTCGTCGAGGCCGCCTTCTGCCCAGCATTGCCGGCGCGCGCGCGCTTCAAAGCGAGGCTCCCACTCCTCGATCCACGGCCAGAGCTGCTTTTGTAAGACGTACGGGGGTTCATTAGCCGCACGCGCGAGGAAGTAGTCCCCCGGCGACGCCGAGAAGCCGGCGACGATGCGCATGAACTGGCGCGGTAGGTGCGTAAGATAGGCCTGGCAAAGCACGCTCTGGTTCCAGCGGCCGGCCTGCGAGATCTGTGCGAGCGACGTGCCGTAGGTCTCAGCGTCCTGGGCGCCTACCCTGCGCGGGAGGTGAGTCTTCTTTGACGCGACAAGGCCAGCGGCGCCGAAGATACGCCAGGTCTCTTGTAGCTGCGTCGGGTACGAGAGCTCCTGCTCGCGGTCCCGTCCAACAAGGGCCTTGATCCGATACCAGTCCTGGCGGCGCCGGAAGGACGGGGGCGACTCGCCGGCGACGTGCCAGCGCCAGAAGAAGAGCTGTGCCAGAGCCCCTTGCGTACAGAGCAAGGGGTCCTTATGCCGGAGGGCGCCCATGAACTCTTTCTTTGCCGTCTTGTTCAGCTTACCGTCTCGCAGAAGGGTCACGAGGCAGCCACAGGGGGTCGGGCCTTCTGAAGACGGATAGTCGAGTAGGGATAGGTCCGCAAGCTCCATCTTACGGCGGTTCTCCCCTCGTAGGAGGTAGTAGTGGCCGAATAGGAGGTCGACTCGCGTACGGAGGTTTTGCGGCATGTATGCGGCCCCGCTGAGAAGGAGATCCTGGATCCGGAGCCATTCATCGTGCGAATAGCCGGCCTGGATCCCGTCGGTTCCGCGGTCTTTAAAGGAGGCGCGGTCGTGCTTCCCCCGCTGTCGGCCCCGTTGCTCAAGGAAGCCCCGTACGGCGGCGCCCCTGGGGTTCTCCGTGTTCGCGTTACCGTGGGCTACCTGGAGCCGCCAGAGCTCGATAACGGCCGCGATATAGGCGTCGATAGTGCCCTTCGTAAGCAGAGATCCTTCGGAAAGGTCTGCTGCAGCCGGCGCAAGGGCCGTGGGTGGCACGTAGCCCTCGCGGTCGTCCGCGAGCAGCTCGGCGGCCTCGACCAGGGGGACCTCAAGGGCTTCGGCTAGGCTTTCGGCCTCTGCCAGGGCCGCGGCCTCGAGCTGCTCCTGTTCAAGCTGCTGCCGTAACTGTACCGCCTTGCCTTTGCCCTTACCCTTACCCTTACCCCGTGCCCGTGCCCGTGCCCGTGGCTTCTTCTGCGGCGGCGCTACGCGTCGTAAGAGGATATCCTCTTTGAGCCACGCCGCTAGCTTGTCCGGCGTTACGAGCTCGCCGTCGGGCCAGCTATAGAGTGAGCCGTCTGCCGCAGGCCGGGGCGTACGGCACCAGGCCTATAGGTTTTCGTCTGTTAGCCGTCCATGGGGCTCCTGCGTAAAAAGAGGGAAGGGAAAGGGGGAAGAGAGGGGGGCGGCCGGGGAGGACGCGCCTTCCACTCCCGCTGCTTCGCAGCGTAACTCCGCGCCGTGTTCGCCGGCTGTTCGTCCTTCTTCGCCTGGAGGCCCGCCCTCCGGGCGGCGCGGGCGCGCTCGTCTGCGGCCGTGTACGAGTCGTCTGCGGCCATCTCGGTCGATCGAGGCCTTTCTATGTGGTGTCGTTTTTCCGTCCGGAGCTAGATAAGTTGCGGGGACTTATCAAACGCACTTATCAGGCGTCGCGCACACGATTTCACGGGCCGCCTTTTGCGGTGGATAAGTTGTCACGTGGTCTAAGCGAATTACGACGTAATTGCGGGCACCATCGATAAGCGAGTTGGCCGGATAAAAGAGTTAGCCACTTTACCCTAACCAAGCCCGTTCACCCAACACGTCCAGCCCATTGAAATCAATCGTTGTTGTCTTCTCCAGACGCCTTTACTTCTATTTGACATCTTCGCGCATCATGTCATGTCCTGTCCTGCCACAAACACCACATCGCCATTGTTCTGTTTCCTCCTTCCATTTGTGACCTCCATTTCCGCAACTTTCTTCTCGTAGCTGCACGCCAACATCGTTTTGGCCTTGTATATCTTGTCCATGAAGTTGATCGGTTAGTTGTGTATCGGTTAGTTGTGTATCGGTTAAAGTGCTTTATGCACTCTAGACCTGTCTCGTTATCAGTCCAGCCATTTTGGGTCGTGGCAATTGCGCTATCTCCCGGGACGTTGCTTTCTCGGTACCAATTAGCGAGGTGATATCGACCCGCAACCACGATAAAGGGCTGAATCGCCCAGCCTTCCGTATTGATCGCTTGAAGCGAGGGTGACACGACCGGTGACAGCGCCAGACGGGGACAGCTGGACTCAAGCGGGCAGCCTAGTTCTCCCACGAAGATGTACGTTACGATGCCCTGGTGGTCTGGCACTAGCAGGGCGGCAGCTACGCTCGCAATAACGAGCTGGACAGGCAAGGAAGGGAAGGCAGTCGTCATTTCAAGAGGTAAAGTGCCTCCATCGTTCCAAAGCTTCATCTCCAGCCACTGTTCCAAATAACATAGACCATATCCCTGGCTGTGTTCACGGTGTCAATAATGCGGCAAAACATCCCTTTGCTTGAAGATGTGACCGCCTCCCCATAAGGCATAAACATGCCAGCTGGCTCGGCAGTCAAGCTGTCTGTAGAAGTAATGCGGTGCGGACGATGTTCTTCGAAACCCCCAGAGCTGTACCAGGCTAAGTCTGTATAGGCAGCCATTAAATCCTCGGAGAACCTATCCGACGCTTTGGGTGGACGAGATGTCTCTTGTGCTGAGAAAGGTAAAACGAGATGGCTGTGTAAGGTGCTAGAGGTGTAACATATAGCCTTTTCTGGGACGTCTAGTATATGTTCTCGATGTTTTAATGTCGTTGATGGAAGCATTGCGATTGTCTTTCCATCAGACAGTAACGAATTGCCCTCCTTCGCCGACTTTCGCGGCCAGTCCAGCTTCATTCTGATTCCGTCTTCGGAATCGGCATCGGTACTGATATCGCCGTCGTCATCGTCGTCCTTGACCTCGACGGCGATACATTGCTCCACTTTATAATTGAAGTGGATGTGTTTTCGCTCAACACCCGGTGATGAGACCCCAGTGGATGCTGACGATGGCAGCATACTCGAGGTCATACTCGAGGTATCACAGCTCATTGGCGTCGAAGGGAAGGGAAACATGGTATGGTCCCTCGTCGCTGCGCGATCAGATGAAAGCTCTTTCAATCGCCGGCTGTCATTCTGCCTCGCTTGGGCCACTGGGGTTACCTGCTGAGGTAAGGATGATATTGACAATGGTCTCTGCAGCATTATATCTGATATGCTCCTTTTCTTCAAGATAGGCTTCCTGTTGTTGTTGACTAGTGAGTTTGGCGGTAACAATGAGGCACCGGAAAGCCCAGTCTGCGTACAGTAGATCTTGCTAGCACCTGGCTGAACGGGCCCATATAGCCAACTCACATCACTATCTTTCAGCCTGCACAAAGTTAGCTTGATACTCGTGCCTAAGTCCGTCATGTTCTTACCAGTTGAGCGTTTCGGGAGACACAGTCTTCAGGTTGTTTTTGTATTTTATCCATGTTCTCCAGCATGCATTCTCCAAACGGGTGCTATTAGGGTGCTCTCCTCGGCGGCTGGTAATATATTTCCATGATGACCAGATGTCTTCTTCCTTCCATTCATGAGAAAGGTAGTCAACATTCCTCCACGGCTGGGCGTTGATAGCAGTGTCATCTTCAGCGTGTTCGTGAATCTCTCCTAATTCCGGAGAACCCCCTGTTGACGTATCAGCCGGCTTATCATTGTCAACAGACGAGGCGCTGCACGAGTCGTCAGCCTTGAGATCCGGCCGGCGTTCCAGGCCATCGTCCCGTGGCGCAAAGAAACCGTCTTTCAGAAATTGGGGCAGCCAAGCGCGCTCTGCTGACGACTCGATCAGGTGGATTCCTTCATCGTAATCAGATAGGGTGGAAATATACCTAGCGGGTGTCGAGGAGCAGGACATATCCCTTGACTCTCGGTGGATAGGAGACGGCGAGGAAGCTGAAGAGGGTGCGGGGTCTGGATGTTCAAGAGACTGATAGCAAGGGTCGCTCCTTGGGTCTGCTCTAGACAGAGACGTCGTTGTCCTGCCCGCCAGTCGCCAGGGAGATTGGCATTCGTCAATTTTTGAGAAAATAAAGTAGCTGCTCCCTTTGGAGGAGGGTAGAGCGGCCGTCTGGATAGATGGTTCATAGAGCTGCCTCCCACACACCGCACGTCATACAGGGGTATATCCAGGCTGCTCGATTTGAGGTGTAATGAAAGCTCCGGTTTTTTTTGGGTTGTTAGAATTCGCCCCTGATCTTGAGGATAGCTCCGGTGTGTGCGACCGTTGGCAAGAAAAGGAAGGTTGAGGTCCCAACAACCTGGGCGTGGCGTTGTGTCAATAATGGCCCATGGCAATCGAGATTGAAGAAGAGAGAAGAGTAGCTACGCCATGAAAGCGATAGAGTGACATCATGAATGACACTCTCTGCAAGGTGCCATTTTACAGTGAAATGCCCTTCTTCATCTTGGCAATCAGTCATATTCACATGTTAACCACTCAAGGATATCAGGGATACTGCTGGGAAACTTATCCTACGGTACCGTTACAGACCGGTCGGAGAGTTTCGAGCCACCTTGCCATGGCCTCTAAGCCGTACTCGGTAGAGCAGGTCAGAGACACATCGCTTGCGTAATTGACAGCTGTAACTTGACTTGCATTGCCTTCTCTTCACTTAATGAGGGCAATGTGCAGCGGGGCGCGCAGTGTACAGTGTCCAGGCGCTGGATTTGGGGCGGGAGCGGAGAATGACGATGACGCAAAAAGAATTCACTACGCAAGTAAAAGTGAAAAATCATGGCGACGCTCGAAGATTTAGGCTCCGCCGTCACACTTCCGTGGGTTGTGCTGCTGCTCAGATGTTGGCGCTGTCATTGGTGGACGCGTCGTGTTCGTGGCGTGCTCCCTCGAGTCAAAACAACACGGGGGTAGATGCAATGAACGGTTGAAGCCCATTGGGTTCTTTTGTGGCTGCTGTTTCCAAAAATCTCGTTCTCGCTGTTTGTTAATTACAATACGACGGTTCGCCCGCGCCGGGATTCAACGTGTGGAAAACGCACTTATGATGTCGGTAACACAGGGTTGCATATGCAGTGACCACCAGTCAAAACAGATGTCATCAAAAAAAACGCACAACTAGCTTGGGCAGACTTTGAGTTATCCGCGACGCGATCTTATGCGCCATGTCACCTCCGACTGAAGCCGACAAATTGATGATCCACAGTGTCTGCGGAGCCTCAAGAGCTACCGGCAAGAGCACCTACCGATCATCAACTACCACATAGCAGACGTCTGACGCTCTCCATGGCTCCAACACAGAGTTTATGCGGTGTCAGGATATCGAGTGAAAATATGGCGCAGATGGCCGAAACTTAGAGGTGAGGACATGGCGCTAGTTCTCATTAAGAGAACGTGCTACCCCTCTAATTCCCCGCATTACACGTCGGATGAGAACTACGGACAAAATGCTCCCGGTCGTATCTTCATCTGGCCCCCTACTCGGCGCCTTCCGGTGAGCTGGTGTGTCCGGTTATCCTCTATGCAGAGCCCTCGTCCCCCAAAGTCCAAGCACAATCACATACCTGCGCATACTGTAAACCGCCGACCCATCCCCCGCCTTCGCAACCTCGTTGGTGCCCGTTCAGGCCACTGCATATCAGAACTCCAAGAGCTTCAAGCAAGTCGAGCATGTCTGCATGCATGACTCTGTGTGTTTTATTGCCCCAGTGAAATTGCCTGTCCCTCGAGACTCAACGACATGGATGATGACTAATTGCGGACTCCGAAACCCCGGCAGATTGGCCAATCATGGCTGCATAAGTCATCTCCTTAAACAAAGGGATTTTTGATCTCCTCGGGTTCTGAAAATGGGCGTTTGAACATCCCGCTCCCACGGGCAAAGTCTGTTTTCTGCTCATGGCCTGGTTGTCCTAAGCTTAGCCTCTGCTGATTCTGTGTTCCTGGCTAGGTACAGATAAGGTTTTGTCAGACATTACGTGTATTCGGTTCATTGACGTGAATTGGTGTATTCATGTTGTGTTCTGTTGAAATCTACCCCTTAGAGGTTTTACCATTTCGGCTGTAATCTTAAAGTATCCCTGCTTGCACGTGAGGCCCCAGCACCTGTTCAACACACCCCCCCAGACTGGCCATCGTGGCTCAGTCTGTGCAGTCCGTATTCCTATTGTCAGGTTGGCCATCCATCCGATCCCTTATTCGGCTCTTCCTCCATCGAGATGTTCCTCTGTTCTGACAAAGTCCTCCGCAGTGAGTTCCTTGGTCCTTCTCTCTTGAATCCTGTCCTTGATATCCACTAGGCCAACCTGTGTGACGAACTTCTGGAACTGCTGAGCGGGTAATGCCTTCATGAGGCCGTCTGCAATCATCTTGGTGGTGGGAGTATGCCGGACTGAGATCCGGTTAGCGAGTGCTTCCTGGCGTAGCCAGTGGTTATGGATGTCGACGTGTCGAAGTTTGGTCTGCAGGAGCGCCACGTCGGAATTAATAAGCCGAATGGTTTGCGCGTTATCGCACTGAATGATGATGCTTCTGTTGTCAAGGGTCACGCCGAGCTCGGTGATTAATCTGGAGATGAACATGGACTCCTTCGCAGCCTGCGCAAGTGCCAGCAACTCCGCCTCTGTTGTAGAGGTAGTCACGGTGTCCTGCTTGTTGGCGCGCCATCCAATAGTCCCTCCAAATAGCTTCATCACGTAGGCTTGCGAGCTCTTCCGATCGATTGTGTTGTCGGCAAAGGAAGCGTCACTGTACACATCAAAAGTGTCTGTTCCGCCGAGTTGTAGTGCGTGTGCCCTGGTGTTTTGCAGATACCGCAATAGGTGGTCCAAGGCCTCATGGTGATCGTCGCTCGGGTTCATATTGAATCGACAAAGTCGAGAAACAGCAAAGGCAATATCGGGTCGAGTGATTACTGCCAGGTAGAGCACTGATCCGGTCTTGTGTTGATACTGCTGTATTGACGCTGTTGATGCGCGCTCTTCGTTCGGAAGAAGTTCTTTCGTGGTTATTGGAGTGAGGGAAGGCTTTCCCCCTTGAATCCTAAAATGACTAGTGATCTTATCCACGAATGACGATTGCGACAGCCAAATCAGACGTTGGTTTCGGTCGCGAATAATCTCAATTCCAAGAAACCACTGTAGCGTATCTCCTCCAGAGAGTTGGTACTTTTCTCGAAGCTTGCCTATCATCCATTCGACCGATCTTTGATTGGTCTTCTCGTAGGCAACAATGAGGTCGTCCACATAGAAGAATATCAATATTCCTCCTTTCGAGAGACAGCATGGCTCGTGAGGTACAGACTTGAACCCAATGTTCGTAAGGGTGGTGGTTAGTTCCTTTTGCCAAAGTAATGGTGACTGGCGCAAGCCGTATAGTGCTTTCTGAAGCTTGAGAATCAGGCCAGGCTTTCGGTAGCCTCCGGGCATCCGCATGTAGACGTCCTGCTTCAGTTCAGCATTGACAAAGGCGTTGACGACATTATACTGGAGAAGTTCTAAATTAAAGTGAGCAGCTATAGCCATGAGTGTTCGGAAAGATCTGCCGGCAAGTGTGGATGCATAGGTATCCTCGTGTGTCGACTTTGCCTGTTGATCGCCTCGTACAACGAGCCGGGCCTTGCACTTGGTGAACCATCCGTGCTTGTCGAACTTGTACACATAAACCCACATGCAGTCCAGGAGTTCCTTGCCTGCTGCTTCTTCTCTCTGAACCTCACGCCAGGAGCGCATTTCTTTATGGCTTTCAAGATGAGTCTTTTCTGCCTCGCGGAATAGGTCACCTAGTGGATGGTTCTTGAGGTCTTTATGCCTTTTTGGCAATATTGGCATGTCTCGCCGGTGTATTCGGCGTTGGCCGTCACCTAAATCTGTCAGCTTTGCAGATTGTGTTTTGCGATTGGGAGAATCCATCAGCTTAGTAGATTCCCCCCGACTTCCCGTAGACTGAGGTTCTCCGCTATCAGGGTGGCAGCTGGCCGAGCTCGCCTGCTTCTCAAGCTTCCGCTTACTCACCACCTTGCCATTCCAGGTCCCTTTCACAGATGCGAGTCGTCCGGCATTAAATGCGGCCTCCCAGTAACTGCTCGGAGTTGAAATGACACGAGGGGCTCCATTTGCGCCGTCTCGTCCCAGGGAAGTGCCAGCGCTAGGTGGGACATGCACCATCTTGGCAGCTCGTAACTGAGGGGGGTTTTCCCCCTCCTTCCTCACGGGAGGTTCTCTGATAGTAGCGACCAGAAGGGCAGCAGGCCGTAGAGGGCAAGTCTCCGGGGTCAGGTAGGGAGTGAATCGAGCGGTCGTGTAGGGGTGATCAGTCCCGTCAGGCTCTTCTCGATTGCGATCTCCTACGACTAGTGTCCTGCCAGTCTCACCCTGCGTAATCGTGGGATCACGTTCAAACCCTCTATGTGGATAACTTGCAGCCTCCCGCTCAAACGCTAGTCCTTCAGGCAAGGCGCTTAATTCCTCGTCTTCTTCTTGGGTAGAAGCATCCAGATTGATGCTAGATCCCTGTGGGACCTCAGCATCAGTGAGATGCTGAATAAGTTCTTCCTCGTTTAGTTCTTTTAAATCATCCTTGAGGTGTTGGACATCCCCAGAGAACGTCTCCTTCTCGTTGAAGATCACGTCTCTAGTGGAGATGACCTTTTTGGTTAACGGATTCCAGACTCTGTAGATGTTTGTCGAGTTATACCCGACCAGGTATCCTATCCACCCTCGGGGATTGAGTCGTTGTCGCCGATTCTTCTTTTTCAAAGCATCGGTCGTCATCGCGAAGGCTTTACAGCCATACACGCGTAGGTGTGTTTGATCGGGCTTACGCTCCGTGACAACCACGCCGTCCCTAAAGGCAAAGTAAGTGTAGAAATGCTCATATGGCGTCTTCCAATTGTAGATATACTTGGGTGTCCTATTGTATAGGTATACGGCAGCACGCCAGATCTCAACCCAAAGGAACGAAGGCAGCTTTGCTCCGATTCTCATCGCGCGAGCTTTCTCCTTGATCACACCCCCCGAGCGCTCTGCGCCGCCATTTTGACTTTGGGCATATGGCGCGGAGGGCTCTAGGCGCATCCCGTTTTTGATACTGAGGAAGTCACTTACCTGGTGACTATCCGGGATCTCGTTATCACACTCGATGACTTCGGGTCTATACTGGAGTTGTCGCTCTAGTGTTCTGAGTAGATGCTCAAGTGCACCGATAAGCGTTGGTGCAGTTCGATCGGGAAGATAATAGTCCCAGATATAGCCAGAGTAACGGTCGGTGACCAGCATAGCTGAAGTGTAGCCTGGATCCCCACTCATGTCGTGGAAATCAATAGCGAGTCGGATTCCAGCCTTCTCGGGTGGAACTCGTCTTTGTCGACGGACTTGGCGCTTCACCTTCGCCATTCCACAAGCATCACACTCAACCGTGGAGATCCCTCTGATCTTCACCCCCCGAGATTGGCCCACGAGGTGCTTG